CCACTGGTCACAATTGTGACAGATCATAAAACACACTTTTTCATATAAAAATTTGGGATTAAATGGGTTAAAACTTTCGCTATGTCCAAACATGAGATAATTTATGAAAAAATAAATTATAATAATCGATCAATCTCTCCCTCCTCCTGTGTTCTGCAGAATTACTCCGCTCAGTCAGAAACAACCAATCAGAACCAGCATTAATCATCTAGTTGTGCTCTTGAGAAGTTTTGATTCAGTAATTTAGGATTGTTTATTTTGATGCAACCTGCATTTGACTTTGAATGAATGTTTCCCTCTTTTACTAGACATTATTTGTTATAGGCAGTGTTGTGAGACTTATTTGACTCGTATCACTTAGGGAACAGAGGACCTTACTGTTAAATGTTTAACTGGCTGCACGTTTTTCAGTTCTTTTGACTTAGTAGCTGCTGCATTGCGCCTGCAAGTATGTTGCATGTTTAGGTTAATTAGGTGAATTTATTACCAGATCATATAGTATCATTTATAACTAACACAAAAAATAAACAGTCAATCCAGGGGGTCGGAAAAGATTGGTGATCAGCAGAGATTGGCCTCATTGGTGATCGGAATCGGCAGCAAAAAACCTGATCGGCGCAGCCCTACTTAAAACCCATGGGCGTAGGTTTGGGTAGGGACGGTAGGGACATGTCCCGACCAATATTCACGGGATATGAAAAAGTCCCGACCAATTTTTGCCATATTGGCTCAAAGAACGTGGATCTACGATCTTTGATTAGCAGCAACAGGCGGTGCGCGGAACGGAAGCTTCTTAGTTTGACATTTATTATGAGCCTCCGAGACCGTGTCGGAACGGTGCTGTCGGAGGGGGGGGGGTAGGGGGAGTCAGTTGAATCGTCGGACGTTCTTTGATTAGCTGCAAAAGGCGGTGGCTAGTTGGGCACACGCGTCTCCTTCTGAGTCTCCGAGACTCGCCACCAAAAAAGAAAAGGACAGACATTAGAAGTTATTTCGCTACGTCGGCTGTAAGTAGTGAGTGGACCCATAAGTTAGATATCTATCACGCAACGCATTTGTTGTAAAGTCCGGTGTTTAGTAAGGTCAGCAGCACTGAATGTGAGGTAGAATAGGTCTGTTAATTATGTAATATTTTTTTCACTTAGGATGCTCAGAAGGCAGAGCAAGGGGCAGAGCAGAACGATGGAGAGGTGGCTGGAGCTTCAGGGCTCCAGGTGAGGTGTTAGTTATACTGTGAAATTATCTCAGTAAATATGGCATTTGAAGTGTTAGTCTTAAATTAAGTTAAGCTAGTGTGAATACAAACCAGGTTACGCTTTGTTTGCTCTATAGGAGGCAGTCAGTGTGAGTGCCAAAATGTTCGGTGCTCTTGGGCATTTCACTGGATGATTTTACATTTGTTTACCTTAGCTGTGGAGTGTTACAGCTGCTGTAATTTCTGAACGTTCAATAAACGACAAAATTGGACTAATTCATTTGTTTGAGAGTATACGTCACAATAAACATCAAACAGGACAAATATATAAGTATCAAACAAATTGCTCCTACCGTGATAATTATATTAAATTGTTCTCTAATATAAAAAATAAAACTAGTTTGGGGGTCTCTCGCATCTTGCTTTGAGCACAGAGTCTGAAAGGCTATTCCTCTATCAGACATGCTATTAATTTTGTCGCTTATTTAGTGGTAATATTGATTTCGATGAGACTCTCTCCAAAATGACAATCTTTTTCAACCTGCATAGCTCTGCTGACATTCACAAATAACAATGAAATAAAATCCATTCCAACATCTGGTTTGAGGTGATTCCTCTGGAACCTGTTTGAGAAAAAGTATCCCAACTTCTTTTATCTGTTAAGGTAAAAGATGTGCTTTTATCTTAACAGTGCTCTTTGGTTGCTCTTCACAGTTTGAAATTTCTCATATTGAAGTCATCAAACCAAAGTTCAGATCTACCATAACTGATTGATACCTGCTGGCCTTAGGTTTCCGACCAGCTTCTGACAGAGAAACCAGCAACTTCCTCCCAGCAACAGAATCTTACTGAGGAAGAAACTGTATTAGGTTTTCCATTATTTTAATAGGTCTGCTATTCCTGATAGATATTTGCATATAAAATAAGTCAACAGAGTTTCATTTACAATTTTTATATCTTCGTGTCATGAGGTAGAGCTCAGCTGGCTGGTGAGAGAAAAAGTAGATCTTGGTCTCAAAAAGTTTGGGCACCCCTGTTCTAAATTTAGCCTCCCACCCAATATAAACTAGGGCTGAAACGATTCCTCGAATGATTTGAGTACCTCGATTATTAAAATTCCTCGAGGAAAATTTATCTGCCTCGAAGCTTCATTAATTTATGTTTTTTTATTTAGCGCACCTTGTTCCGGCCAGGATATTATTTGCTGCGCAGCGCTCTCACTTCCGCCTACGAGTTGTTGACGAAAGCTAAGTGTTAGCAGCATACAATCCAATTTTCCAGTTTGGCCGCGGGGATTTTATTGATTGATGATAATGCCCGGATTTTCATCGTTTTTGGGGGACCAGTAAGGACCCTTGAAATGACTAGAACGATGCCTGGAGTACGGCAGCTTTTCTCCTCCGGGAGCTGCTAGTTCAGAGAGAACCGCTGGAAGAGCACTGCAGGAGTATTTATACAGGTAAGCAGATAGACTGAACACGGCGGGGGGCTGAGTAGTTGATGCTTATAGTGTAGTGTAGCTTTACGGACGAACTGCACAATAAATTTCATATCATCCCTGTCGCAACAAACGGATGGCGTAGCGCATCGTGATGATACATAGCTGGTTGATGAGTTTGAGTGAACGAAGGTGTCAAATCCTGTTAACAAGGACACAAAAGCTATAAATAGCTGGGCAAGGCATACCTGTCAAGTCTCCTGGCTAATTGTTGCTTATTTATTTACGTTTTTTTCTTAAACGTAAAAAAACGTTTAAAAAACGTTTTTATATCCCCCTTTCCTGCTGTGCTCCCGTATTAGCATTTTCCCATAAATATTCCGTATTCACCTCCCGGGTCTTTCGTTCATGCAGTTTTTATTGCTCCGGACTTGCGTTCATCTGTCTCCCACCACTCCAAGCCCCCCAACTCCAGGTGACATTTCCTGTATTCTCAAACCCAAAGCTTGACAGGTATGTATGGGGTATGGTGAGAGTTTATTTATTAAACTGATTGGAGAGGAACACATAAACTAAAAGCTGGAGCATAGAAATTTTTTATAAGCGTATTTGTGAGCCTGCCTCCTTATTGCTCCCAAACTCTGGAACTCACTCCCACCTGATCTCTGTAACACAGACTCTTTACCACACTCAAATCCATACTCAGAACTTAAGTAGCCTACTCCCTTTGATTCCAATTGCAATGTCTTTTTAAATCTTATTTTGTACTTTATTTTACCATGCATTTCAATTTTGTGTCTCTTATGTTAATTGTGTAAGGTGACCTTGAGTGTCGAGAAAAGGACCTACAAATAAAATGTATTATTTCTATGAGATTCAGCAGTAACACTTTATTTGAAGGGGGGTGAATAAGACTGACATGACACTGTCATAAACATGACATGAATATGAATAAGCCTTCATGAATAGTTATGACTGTTGTCATAAAACGTCATTCGGTAAATTATGACACTTTTAATACAAAGTTGACATTATTCAAAATGTCTTTGTTATGACAACTTGACATTAACCAAAAAATCATTACTGATATAAATTTGTTATAAAAGTATTACTGATTGCACTTTAAAAATTAGGTAACTTTATGTTATTAAAGGTAAAGTTTAAACGGTAATGATTTCTTGGTTAATGTCAAGTTGTCATAATAAAGACATTTTGAATAATGTCAACTTTGTATTAAAAGTGTCATAATTTACCGAATGACGCTTTATGACAAGTCATAAATATTCATGAAGACTTATTCATGTTCATGACAGATGTTATGTCATGTTTATGAAAGTGTCATGACAGTCTTATTCACCCCCCTTCAAATAAAGTGTTACCGATTCAGCATATTCATTTGGGAGACATGTATGTAAACAGTACTGTTAGCTGTTTGGGGAGGTGCTCCACAATGCAGGCCAGCAGACTTTCTGTGGGCTTGTCAGAGCAGAGCAGCACTAGGTTGACGTTCTTGTCTCCACGGAGCAGCAGGCCTTTAGCTAGGACACCGACCCTCATGACACCCTTCAGCACTCTGGAGAGTTGGGAAAGAAATATGGGCAATGGAAATGTGCACAAAAAACAAGTAGCTCTTAAATGTTACACTAGCATTTGTTTAAGAGTAACACTGAAAGTGTGGAGTAAAAACTCATCTCCAGTTTTAGACAATGCAGAGTCGAACCAGAGATCTGGTCTTAACAGGCTGGCAAAGAACAACACTTGTGTCGAAGACAAATGCCGCACCTGTCTTTGGCTGGTTCCTTCTTCTCTTTATCGTCCTCTTTGTCGTGTTCCTGATCTGAGATTATGTCAGAGACGAGTTTTAGAGCTCGCTCTGTAATTGACACAATCTTCTGAATGGACTGGAGCTCATCTTCAGATGGGTAAATGGCTGCATGCTTGGTCATGATGTAGCGGTCATCAGAAGAATCTGGACGACGGGGCGGCTGAAAGGGACACAGATTTTAAAGTAGATTTGGTTATTTAAATTGCAAAAAAAAAAAAAAAATAGCTACACAAAATAAATGTTTATTCTCATACATTTAAGTGCAATAATGTAGGGCTGAAACAATTAATTGCTTTAGGATTTTCCTGGAATGATTGAGTACACCCTTGATTCAGCCATGTTGGAGAAACATATTTCTCCAACATTCAGCAAAAAGACACATTCATACTCAGCGAAAATATTCCGTCACTGAATTGCACACAAGCCTAGACCACTCTAAAACACCATTTAGCCCCTTTTGAACTGAAGAGCCTGGCCTGGCTTCGAACCCAAAACCGGCGTTAGCACTTCCAGCCCACTCCTGCTCCGATTCCTTGAGTCCCGAGAGCTGTGGTTCCAATCGGGCCGGCCACACAGGGCTGGTTTGGAGTCAGCTATTGATTGGTGCATTGCCTGGAGGTGAGGGGGGACAGAGAGGAGCCATCTTCCAGATCTCTGGGTCAGAGGAATGGTAGACTCTCAACGTTTGTCTCATCATATTCCATTTTTACCCATAAGTTTTGAAATGATAATAGCAACATATTTGCTTTTCTCCATTTTGTTAAAATATTATAAGCTGAAAGAGAATCCACTTTGTGTAATCACACAACAAGCAGAGAAATACATGAAACATTGTCTCTGCAATGGAAAGAAAAAGAAACAACATACACCAACTGTAGTACCAATAACTGAATACAAACAATAAAATTAAATGATTGTACTAAAATTGTGAGCTGAATCTGCAGTGGCCTGAACATACATAATCCCACAACTTCCTGGTCTGCAAGACTTGTGCGTAATCAAATATTTCAGGGTTTTAATGCTGATCTGAAGGATGAATTTGTATTCTGTCCAAATACGAGTCTTATACTCAATTGAGTTTTGTCTTAATGATTTTGTTAAGAGCAAAGCTTGTCCTCAGATTCCTTGCTTTACAAGCGCTTACAGAAGGAACTGGACAACAAGAAACTAAAGTGTTCCACAGTCCAGGTCAATTCATGCAAAAACACCTTTTGAGTCATTCTCAGGTAATCGTATTGCTGTATTTTGGATCTGCAGCAGAATCAAAGACCAGCTCTGTACAAGAGCCGTCTTGGAGTGATTTCCATTGTCATGGGAAGGATGTGCGTTTTCTCCGCATGTGGATTATGACTTCACTTTGGTTTGCTGATCTCCCAAAATGTTACAAATCGTTTTGTAACCCTGCTCCTGTACCCTGTAATAATTTGACAGTCAACAGCTTGACTGTCAAATTATTATTTTTTTTACAATTTTTTTTTTTTTTTTTTACAAATGTAGCAAATAGATGAAATTTGAAAAATTCTTTATTTTAATAAATTCATTTATGTGATTTCACTTTGCTCTGATGGTTCAACTGGACAGTAAAGCAAATGCTGCATTGTGGTTTAACTTGAGTGTAAAATACAAAGCAGAATAATTTATGGAGACCCACCATGGGACTCTGTGGCTGCAGACCTGGTAGACCTGGTCGGACTCCTAGAAGGCCAGGAGGGCCTGGGGGCCCCTGTATGTACCCCCCATCAGGGATTCGACGCCGATCGTCCCAGTGATGCTGCTCCTCCTCCATACGTCTCCAGTACATGTCTTCTTCATACCGCCTGTAAATGACAAAATGTTGTTTGTATTCTTTTCACTGCATTTACATTCATTCAGACAAACACCATTAGGCTTTATAAAAGAGCCTCCCTGATCCCCCACAAAAAGTCTTTATCTGCCCAACATAGACCTCAAGTGTGCTGGTGTAACCCAGGATATGAGGCTAAATGGAAGGACATTAAGCTTTTCTTGTTGGACTTCTCTATACAGTCTGTTCTGGGCTGCCCCGGGCATACCACTTACAAACTCTGTGTTTAAGTTTCTCTTTAAAAAAGTGGGTAAAGGTCATTAAAAAGTTTAATCACCACAAACAGATAGAAGTATATGTTTGTGGAGATTAAAATCCACCCGCGTTTCCTTCCAGCATCGATGGACCACAAATATAGAAGATGGGTAAAACAGGGAATCACTGCATTCTGTCATACAACTAAGAAAGGGACTTATTAAAGTTTGAGGACATGAGCCAGACTTATGATACGTCTACAGAAAGAGAGACACTTTGGCTATAAAACAATCCCATTTTTTCCCAAAGACTAATTTTTGTGAATCTGTTACTCTGACTGACATGCACCTAAACAGTCTGTTGCTTGTCCTAGCAAGCAATAGACACACACATTACATACACACACACACATCAAAAATCAAATCCAATTTGGTAACACTTTATTTGAAGGGGTGTGCATAAGACTGATGATTTTGTAAATTATGATAATTTAATGCAAAGTTGGCATCTTTAATGGACTTCCAATGCAACTTTGAGAGCAACTTTGCATTAAAAGTGTCATTATTTACCGAATGACACTTCATGACAACTGTCAATTCATAAAAACTTCTTTATGTTCATGACATGTGCCATGTCATGTTTATGACAGTGTCATGTCAGTCTTATGCACACCCATTCAAATAAAGTGTTACCTCAAATTTTATTTGTATAGCACATTTCAGCAGCAAGACATTTCAAAGTGCATTACATCATAACACAAAAACACAGTCATGCAATTTAGACTCAATCAAAACATTACATTAAGTCAAGTGCCATCATTAAATTGATTACGTTTCAAATAGAACTCTAAACAGTTGGGTTTTTAGTTGAGATTTAAAGAAAGTCAGTGTTTCAGCTGTTTTACATTTTTCTGGAAGTTTGTTCCACATTTGTGGTGCATAGAAGCTGAATGCTGCTTCTCCTTGTTTGGTTCTGGTTCTGGGGATGTAGAGCAGACCAGGACCAAAAGACCTGGAAGGTTGGTACAACAGCAGCAGATCTTTAATGTATTGTGGTGCCAAGTTGTTCAGTGATTTATAAACAAACAGTATTTTAAAGTCTATTCTTTGAGCTACAAGGAGACAGTGTAGGGACTTTAAAACTGGTGTTATGTGCTCTAACTTCCTGGTTTTAGTGAGAACGCAAGCAGCAGCGTTCTGTATCAGCTGCAGCTGTTTGATTGATTTATTAAGTCAGACCTGTGAAGACGCTGTTGCAGTAATCAA